AACTAGTGTTTGCCGCTACGCAACGGGTATTTGTTCTTTGGAGTTCATTAGTTTTTTTCAGATTTTATTACATATTTCCAACAAAAAGGGATAAAAGTATAAGGAATTACTTTTTCGAAGAAATTTCAGGATACTTTTTATAATATTATGGGTTAAATTAAAAAGATGATTGTTTAACACGCTTCTTTGTATGTTAAAGTTGGTTTTTATTAAGAGTGTGTCTGGGCGGGATTCCTTGTTTTGGAGAATTGATTTTTACTTCAAATCAATACGGTCCACCATTACACAAGTGTGCAATTCTATGCTTAAAAATGTAATGGAATCACCATTCTACCCTTTCATGGGCAATATGAAAATTGATTTTGAAGTCAATATCAAGGTGGCCCACCATTGGAAAAGTGTTCCATTTTCATGAATTTTGAATGTGGGCCCTGTTTGACACACATTAAAATTTTCATTTTCATTTTTCTACTCATTTTCAACCACGCATTTTTCAATAAAATAATATTTTATATCAAATCAATAAATTTTCCTTCTTTTTCAACCACACATTCTCCATCAATCTACTATTCCAAAATATATTCTTTTAAAATAATATTCATCAAACACACCCGTAATATATTCACCACTTTTTACTCATTTATGCTATCATGTACGTTTGTGCCTTAAAATTGGTTATCACTTCGATATGTTCAATTATAGTGCCTTATTGGGCAAAACCTTTTGTAAATGTTGTGTACTCATTGTACTAAACGGTCACATGCGTAGTAATTGAGACAATACAAACAAAAATACGCCATACAACAGTAAATCGAGTTTGACAATTTTTTTTTTCATTTCCAACTTTTCGAATACGACAAATAGTGCAAACAATGACCGTTATATCATCAACGATGTAATTATAATTTTACTTCGTTCAAATAAACACTCATTATCATTGTTGTTGTGCTAAATACTCGCAAAAACGATCCCACTCATTTCGTGGCATTTCCAGTGCGTTCATTCAGCTGCGTTTCTTCATGTTCCTCCGGAAGCTCCACCTCTACGGCATCGGGATCTGTCTCTACTCTCATAAAGGCTCGTCGACCATGCCAATCCGTCGAAGAAAGTCATGAATACCCATAGTTGCCATTACAACATCAGTCTGCACTTTAAAATTATAGCTCGACATACGATGGAGAATTTTCCACAGAATTTTCCAAACTCGGAATGCACATTCAATTACATTTCTGCAAGACGAGTGTCTGAAATTAAACTTCTCACGCGCATTTTGGAATTTACGCCTATGTCCGATGTCCCTATCATAAAATTGTTGGAAATTGTACAATATGTGAGACCCCTTATAAGGAGCCATGTACCTAGGTCGATGGGCAAATCCCGAGTCAACCAAATAATATTTTCCCCCTGTTGGTTGTGAAAAATCAATATCATGACTGTGTATAGCATGAGCTAAGATAAAATGTAAAACACAAGTTAAAATCACATGCCGCAAGGACATTTTGTTTAGGATTTCTTTTGCATCTAATAAAGTTCACTCGTTCATTGCATGGGAGGACGGCACTGACGTGCGTGCCGTCAATTGAGTTTTCAAAGAGCTCTTGAAACCGCCTAAAATGTAAGTAATAATTTTATAATTGAAAGAACTCTTTTAACAAATGATATAATCAAGTCAAGTATTTAGATAGTAAGAATAACACTTCAATAGATAGCAAATAGTAAAGTTCAAGTGTTTTTGTTGTAAATTTTGATGAATGATGGATAATGAAATAGTTTGTATCTTTGTATCAAAATTTCCAACCAATGATCTCTCTTAACAAATAATACAAGTTAAGTATGAAGAGAGATTTTACACTTTAATAAAAGTGTTGGCAAAGAAAACTTCTATCAAGAATTGAAGAATAGATGAGATTGAGAAAGTTTCTTTGCAAAAA